CCACAGGGAGTTCGTTCCAGAGGGTCAGAGCAGCCACAGAGAAGGCTCTCTGGGTAGTCGCCAGTCGACACTGGCCGGCGGGTGGAATTCGGGGGAAGCCTAATCTGTGGGATCTAATCGGTCTAGTGGAGGTGATTGGCAGCAGGCGGTCTCTCAAGTACCCAGGTCCAATACCATGCAAATCTACTGCCCCATTTTCTGCCTATTTTATGCTAGTAAGGGTGGAACACATTAGGAATTGATCTCTTTATGTTCCCGCAAACATGGGAGGTAAATTGTCGTTACCAGTTCCCACAACTGAAGAACTAAGTTGCTGTTCTGTTCATCAGAACATCTCTTTCACCGTGAAAAATGCTGGGAAGATAAGAGAAACAATTATTAATTTTTTCATTGTTTATTTGCATGTCATGCTCCATGGAGAAAGCCTTGCCTCCATAGAAATCCAACAAAAAAGTCCAAGTAAAGGTTCCCCAAGCAATATATTTCTAAAGAACTACCAGAATAACTTTCCAACAATGGGAGAATTTCATTTGGAGATATGTTTTTCTTTTCCTTCTTTCTCCCAAGTCAAGGAATTCATATCATGATTGGGAAAACTGGCCTAATCTCGATTCCTCCTTTTATTATTATTATTATTATTAATCTAAAAAGATGACATATATAATTGTCTATATAAGAAAGCGATCTCTGGTCTTTTAAGTATGCGTTCTCAAAAATGCAGCGCGTGAAAGAGACGTTAGCCATCTGCAAGTCGACCAATATTTTTTTCTCAAAATGCAGCAATGGTTTTGCCCTGGATTTTAACCTACTGTGTATTCTAGATCTGACCTCTTGCTTTTCAAATAGGCTAGCTTCGCCCAAAATAATATTTGCAATGTGTTTCTTCACTTAACATCTAAAGCACAGCATTCAGCTGCAAGAAAAAAAGATATACTGAGCTTTACAAGCCCAGAACTGCTTTCTAATTTGCATAGCAGCACCCAAAAGTTATTTTAAAACCATTGCTTGGAGTTTTTTGGCAGAAGAATCTGAGCTATCAAAGGCTGAGATATGCACACCGTTCTGTCCTCTTTTGTTGTTGTTTTCCTCTTTTGGGTAGCAACTCATAGAAACACAAGAGTATCCAATGACACTTTTTAAAAACCTGGGTTCCTAAGTTTTTTTTTTTTAAAAACAAGCAAATAATTACAAGTACATAATCTGGGTCTTTTGTCAGATTATTAGATATAAATAAAAACCAAGGCCAGATTGATAAAGAGTCAAGAAATTGGTGCTAAGGGGAATCCTTTGTCGACATATTACTGCAATATTGGAAATATCATATCAAGGATTAGCTTTCCTCGGAGTCCATAAAGGGATTAGTAACTACTTGCGGACGTGAGATCAGTCCCAGTTTATCAAACCAGTCACTGATTCGAAGGAGCGCTGGCAGAACATGAAGAAATTGTGAGGGGGGGAAACAAAGTATTGATAATTATTTCCCGTGTTGGGATAGCATTATTTCCAAACAGAGCTGAATTTGTATCTCTCTCTATATATATATATCCTTATTTGTATTGTTCGTTTGTATCCCTATTTTAGAATCGTAAGCAGCTTGGCTAATGCAGAGGTGGGGAACAATGGCCCCTTTTAAGTCTTTGTGGACTTCAACTCCCAGAATTCCTGAGGCAGCCATGCTCCACAAGTCATAAAGGGGCCATCACTCCCCATCCCTGGGCTAATACAATTAGGGGATGGAGACAAGACTAGCTTGGCTATAGCAATAGCAGTAGACTTATATACTGCTTCATAGGGCTTTCAGCCCTCTCTAAGCGGTTTACAGAGAGTCAGCATATTGCCCCCAACAATCCGGGTCCTCATTTTACCCACCTCGGAAGGATGGAAGGCTGAGTCAACCCTGAGCCGGTGAGATTTGAACCGCTGAACTGCTGATCTAGCAGTAGCCTGCAGTGCTGCATTTAACCACTGCGCCACCTCGGCTCTTGATGCTTGAATTTCCATAGTGGGTCTTGTTGTCTATGATGCTTGAATTTCCATAGTGGGTCTTGTTGTCTGCTTAACATTAAGAAGGACAATCATTTAAAGCAGTCTTTCCCAACCATTGCAATTGCCAGCTGTCTGGACTTCAACTCCCAGAATTCCACAGTGAGCATAGCCATTGAGGAGAATTCTGGGAGTTGAAGTCCACCCAACTGGAAAGCACCACAGTTGGGAAATACCAATTTAAAAGACAAAGGGAAGTCTGACTCTTCCTTATCACAGCACATCTGGCAACGTTTCCCAACATCGTTTGTCAGAAGCTCCACATGATGACACCGGGTTCTTACATGCAAAGTAATCACCATCTTCCCTCAGCGACTCCTACACACTATATGCTTGTGTTTCATTCAAAAATGAAAGATGCTGGAGGAAGTCAGTTATCTGTTTTATTAAGCTCAGCTATCTGGTTCCTGTTGCTTTTATCGTTATACAAAGAGGTATTTCTACATTAACCATTCAACAGATCTTTGTGCATTGTCGGTCTTTCTCGCACATAACGCGAGAGGAGAAGCATTCTCTAGTCCTTCATGCCAGGATACGCACATCAAAGCCACCCTTACACATTCGAGGCAACAGATCATACATTTTTTTTTCTCATTTCGAATTAAATATGCATAGGATTAAACCCCATCAAAATCAGGATCAATAGGACTCGCTCCAAAGTCAGTGCAGACAGAACTGGGCATTTAAAAAGGTGCCACATTTGCTATGCTGGGAGTACAGAGTACAGAGGCCAAGGTAAGCTTGCAAATTAAAAGCTAGCATTATTCAGCCAAACTTTTTTCTTCCTTTGCTTAATGGCTCCAGGTAGAATTCATTACCAATCGGAAAAATCCAAAAGGGGATTTAAAAAAAAAAAGTTGCTTCTCACTAAATAAAAGAGAAATGCAACTGTAGATACCTGAAGTGTTTTACCTAGCATTGCTGTGGAACTGAACATTTTAATTTAATTCAAACCGGAGGAAGAAAAGTCTCTGATGACTTTTTTTTTTTTTTGACCCCAAATTGGATTCAGGGAGGATTTTGTAGGGTTCTTTCATGAAGTGAGAGCTACAAGACCAATTGACGAACATGAATTCCCTTGAGAGAGCAGTTATAGAAAGGATGCTTTGTTGGACAGCCTTAAAAAAAAAAGTATCATTCTTTTTTTTTTTTAATGGCAGCAGTGAATTAAAGAAGTTAATGGCCTGGATTAAAATCTATCTTGTCTCTTCAGTCATGTTGTCTTCCACCGGGAACAAAACAAGATTTCGTAACGGGTCTGAGGCAACAACGCTAGAGCAAACCTGGTCCTCGGATACCCTCCACAGCAAGAAACATTCCCATGTGTTGTCGAAGATGTTCCTCACAGGAAAAAAAAAAGGGGGGGGGGGAGAAAGTAGGAAAGTTTTTTTGTTTGTTTGTTTCATTGATCACCAAGCCGGAAGCCCTGGCCCCAGTTGTGCCTTGTGTCTCCCTGGCGATTATCTACGGGTCTTCGCATACTGGCAGGAGGAACCCCAAATCCAGAGACCCCTCCTCTTCTGTTGGGCAGCCATTTGTACCTGCGGGTCAAGAAAAGAAGGACTTCAGAAGACCATCCCAGCCCCTATTCGGCTTTAGCAGCCCAACAAAACTTCAGCAGAGGTCGAAATTGAAGAAGCAACGAAGGCTTAGGCTGGCGTTTCGGTACAGGTGGTCCTCGACTTACAACACTTCACTTAGTGACCATTCCGAGTTACAACGGCACTGAAAAAAAGCAACTTATGACCATTCTTCACACTGATGACCACTGCATCTTAGATTGGATTAGAATGGTTGGTAGATGGATGGATGGAAGAAGGAAGGAAGGAAGGATGGGTGGATGGATGGATGGATGGATATATACATACATGATAGACAGACATATGATAGGGATAGAGGAAAGGGAAGGAAGGGAAAGAGAAAGAAAAGGAAAGAAAGAAAGAAAGAAAGAAAGAAAGAAAGAAAGAAAGAAAGAAAGAAAGAAAGAAAGAAAGAAAGAAAGATAGATTTTTTAAGCAGAGGGCAAAACAAACTTTGGTTCCTGCTGCCATTATCATTATACAGCAACATTTCAGGAAAATAAAGGAGAAAGTGAGCAAATCTTATATTTGGGAGTTTGTAATAGTTTGAATCAAGATTTCCCATTTGTCTGTGTCAGGGGCAAAACAGAATGAAATGCAACAATTGACCTAATTACATATCCATCCATCCACACATCCTTCCTTCCTTCCTTCTCCTTTCTTTCTTTCTCTGTTCCCCTTCCTTTCTCCCTCTTTTCCCCTATTCCTCTTTCTTTCTTTCTTTCTTTCTTTCTTTCTTTCTTTCTTTCTTTCTTTCTTTCTTTCTTTCTTTCTTTCTTTCT